TGGCAGCTGGATTTAGGGGACAGTGGATATATTGTTTCTTAATTAAATAATTCATTTGTTCCACAAATATTGTTGAGTGGGTGCCATGTGCTAGGCAGTGATAGGTGCTGGAGACAGAACAGTCCATCAACAAACCATCCACCCAAATAAACAAACAACATTCCCATTCTCTTGGTGCTTGTAATTCTATTGGAGGAGGCAATGAGCAGAGTAAGCAGGCGGTAGCAAGTGTCAGGGCAGGTGGGTTTGCAAAAAGGGATGTTAAGGGAATCCCTTACTGAGAAGACGATGGTTGAACAAAGACTTGAAGAAGGTGAGGAGGCGAGCCAGGCAGGTGTGTTGAGAAGAGCATTCAATTATTAGCTGAACTACTTATCAAAGAGATGCTTCCCCTCATCAACTATTTGGCTACCTTGGGGTTTAGAAGTTCAGAGAGGAAAGGAAGAATAAATATTTGACTTTATCTTTGCTTATCAGTTTGCAAGATAATGAATTAGTTTTCTATCAGCCTCTGAGGTTGAGCAATTCGTTTTTCCTAAGTATTCTTTATTTTGAACTCGTGGTTTGAAGCCATGAGTTCAATCTATTGCAATTATTACTCTTATTGAAGCATAAATCGTCCTATTCTTGGCCAGTGGGAGCTTCTACAATTTGGCTCATGAGTCTTTTTGATATATTCTAATTAGTCATTGATAGCTTCATTGCAATCTGGTATGACAATATTTCAGGCTCATTTTGTAATTTCCTGCCCAAGAAATGGACTCAGCCATATCTCCAAGAAGTCCTAATTTCTTTTATTTTAGAGGGAGATAGTATTTTAAGCTACAATATGGGTACTAGGGATACTAATTCCTACTGCCTGGTCATTATTTCTAGGCTTTTTCAGTGACCACAACTGGAAAAATTTCTGTCTATCTCTTTATCTATCCATCTATCTACTATCTACCTATCTATCTATGTATGTAAGTCTATCTATGTATGTAAAAATAAAATACTTGTGAGTTCATACCGGTACTTGCAATTCAAATTCAGAACTCAAATTCAGAACCAACTTCTATATTACATCAGTTC